GAGAGACACCGACTTACGCTAGGGGAGGGGGGAGACACCAACCGACGTTGGGGTCCCTTAAAAATTTCCTCGGCCAAAAAGGGGTCACGAGTGGAGAAAGTTTAAGAAGGCCTGGTCTATCCGACCAGCCTGATATCCATCTAGCTTATATGTTCTATTTTTTTTTTTGTGTGTTTTGTTTTGTTTTTCTTTTTGACCCTAAACTGCTTTATCCATGCTTCATATCTGTTTCCCTTCTGAAGCCATTGTCTGAGTAGATCTTCTCCAAGTAGAGCTCTCATCTTCCATTTATGCCGGTTAACACCTGACAGCTGAACGAGCTCCATCCGCTATAGGTCAATCAAGCTCTGATGTTGCATACAGATGTTTCTCTCCCCTGGAGGCAGGGCAGCCATCAGGGGGGTACGGCCGATGCTCATGTAAGGGGCCCGGGCAGCCTGGGGGGGCCCGCCCGGGTCCCTTACATGACTATCGACCGACGGTGAAGGGCGAGGAGGCGGAGGCCTGGCCCTAGCAGCGCAGGGCCCCAGCATTGCCGCTCCAGCGGCTTCGAGACAAGCTGGGGCCCCATCAGCCATGCTGCTCGTCTGATGTCGGATAGGCCGGACGGGACGTCACTTCTGGCCGGTCCGGCGGCAGATAAGGCCATGTGTGCAGGTAAGAGGAGCTAGGAAGGTAAGGAGGAAGGGGAGGGATGCAGCCCTGACCAGCCCACCTGAGACCCCTTCAGAGCCCACCATAGACAGTCTCAGATGGGCTTTGCAGCATCTATGGTGGGCTCTGCAGGGTCACACTCAGGTGGGTCCTGTGTCCAGCGCATCACTAAGCCCTGCGTCCAGCGCGTCACTAAGTCCTGCGTCCAGCGCGTCACTAAGCCCGTGTCCAGCGGCGGGGGGGCTGGGGGGCCTGACAAAGCTGTGTAAGGGGCCCCAAAATTTCTGACGGCTGCCCTGCCTGGAGGTATTATTTGCTTGGTGTTTGGGGGTTTTTTTTTCCTTTACATTTTTCTTTCTCCCGGTCGTCATGTATCATCCCGATTATGTACGTTTTTGTACAATGATAATCTGAGCTGCACTGTTTTCTGTATGTTATAAAACTGTAATAAAAGATTATGGAACAAAAAGAAATGTACTGATCACATACCAATGTCAGTTTTCCTGCCTTAAAGTTCCAGCACAGCTGAAATGCATGCGCCAACGGCTGCCTGTGATCTACTTCGGCTGCAATGTAAATGCATCTCCAACAGGACATGCGGAATTCAGAGAAACGCAGCATCAGAATGGCCCCCCTGCACTCCACCATTCAGGTAAATGGAGTTCTGCTGACCATAGGGCGGCCACCTTTTTATTCAAGCGAAACCCGAACACTCTAGCGACACGCGGACATTTTTTGGGGAGAACGAGTTGCGGCATTTTTATATGTAAATATCACAGTTGAGACTATTTTCAGTGGGGAGGGGGAGGGGGGGGGGCAGTAGCCCCTATCTTAATGTTGGTTGCCCCTGTCTGCCTGACATCTCGTGTCCCGGTTTCTGCTGCCATGAAACCCGGACACAGCATTCAAAACCCGAACTGTCCGGGTGAATCCTGGACAGGTGGCAACCCTAGCTGACCCGTATCTCATACGCACATGATGCATGTAGACGAAGCCCTAAGATTCTCCAACCCGCAGAGCTGGGAATGGTCCTGCCTCCTCGGAGGCTCTGCCAGCAGCGGTGGAGGATTGGCCTCAGGATGAGGCCGCCCCTTTGGTTCCTTTTTACTTCCTGAACCCGGTTCTGAATACAGCGGAGACATTTCACGGCAAATGTTTATTAAAGTTAGCCTAAAATCTCACCATTTGGACTGCCAAGGTTAAAGTTGCCTATATAAAGAAAAAAAGTCATGTGATCGGCTTGTAAGGGCTAAAATGGTGATCACATGACTTTGTTGGCAAACAACGCCGTGTCAGCAGCTACCACTACTTTTTTTTCCTTGGTTCATTTTATATAATAATAATAATAGTTTAAAATATTTACAATTAAATAAAAATGAAAAGGAGTTTCATTAACCCCTAAAGAGAGATCCAAAGCCAATTTCCCTAATGTTACCTTTCTTTTGATTCCAATGTGCAAAATGGTGAATTTGGCAAAAAAAATTCAACAAAGTAAAAACTCAATTTTGCTGATCCCTACATCTTACTCCTCCTATCAGCAAACTGGATGGAGGCGTCTGACAAGTACCTCAGACATGTGCACAGAGCATTGCCAGAACCGCCGTAACCCATGGTGATTGGACTGCAATCTTAGTAAAACGAGAGCTCTGATTGGTCACTATAGGTGCTCTAATTGGACAGTATAGGTGCTCTCATTGGACCCTATAGGTGCTCTGATTGGACCCTATAGGTGCTCTAAATTGGACAGTATAGGTGCTCTAAATTGGACAGTATAGGTGCTCTGATTGGACAGTATAGGTGCTCTGATTGGACAGTATAGGTGCTCTGATTGGACAGTATAGGTGCTCTGATTGGACAATATAGGTGCTCTGATTGGACAGTATATGTGCTCTGATTGGACCCTATAGGTGCTCTCATTGGTCACTATAGGTGCTCTCATTGGACCCTATAGGTGCTCTGATTGGACAGTATAGATGCTCTGATTGGTCAATATAGGTGCTCTGATTGGACCCTATTTGTGCTCTGATTGGACAGAATAGGTGCTCTGATTGGACCCTATAGGTGCTCTGACTGGACAGTATAGGCGCTCTGATTGGACAGTATAGGCGCTCTGATTGGACAGTATAGGCGCTCTGATTGGACAGTATAGGCGCTCTGATTGGACAGTATAGGCGCTCTGATTGGACAGTATAGGCGCTCTGATTGCTGATTGGACAGTATAGGCGCTCTGATTGGACAGTATAGGTCCTCTGTCAGTGTTCTTTGCATTGGCCAGATAAGCCCATTTGGCTAAAATTGAGTGTTAGTTCTGCTACTCCTCCGTCCTTTCATTGCAACTAAAATTTGGGTAAGTGAGTTGGGGGAACGACAGACAGACAGACAGGGACTGGGGGGGTCACTTACTCTCCGCTGTGCCGGCAGGGACTGCATTACTTCGAGGTTTTTTGGTTTTCTTTATTTCCGTTTTTCCAGACGTATCTATAACAGAACAAAACAAATATCAACGATGAACATGGAGGGACAGGAAACCAACCAGCAATCACTGTGCCCCCCCGAGGACACCGAGGGAGGTCACAATGGTGGGAGGATTGGGATGATAAAACCAGGTCACAGATGACAGCTGAGCCAATACAGAGATCTCTTGTAATCTATGAGTGTCACATTGTATCCCCGACAGGTGTCACTCCTCATAAGACCGCACATAACCCTGCCGCTGACGCCATGTAAATTTCTATCGCCAAAGTGAATGATCACATGATCAGTAAGGGGGGGTCACATGCATTACAACCCAACCTGAAGATGGCACGGTGCACTTCCAGGAGATTCATGAATGCAACACTTGTATTGATGTTTGTGATAAAAGTCAACCAGTTTATTTTTCTAACCCCTAATGATCGGGGGTCATCGTGTTGTTGGTTAACTTAGAGAACTATGGGGTCAGTGTTTTTCCCCATAGTTCTCCTTAGGGTAACGGGAGGACACAAACTAGCGTCCTCCCGTCACCCTAGGCTCAGTATATAGGGAGCTACAGCTCGCGGTATACTGAGACGCCGCAGCTGAAGCGGATCCCGACAATTATGTCTGGATCCGCCCAGCTGCATGACTGACAGCTGGCTCTGCCTATCTAGAGGCAGAGCCAGCTGTACCGCTGTACCCGCCCCCTCCCCCGTCCGTTCCGCCAGTCAGCGCTGGAGGATCGGAGCGGGGAGGAGGGAATCCAGCCTCTCCCCCTGTCACGGCAGAGCGCCGTGACAGGATCGAGAAGTGAGGGAACACCGGTATGTAAGTAGATCGCTCACTTCCCGATCTACTGAGCCGAAAAGGCAGGGCTTTCATTTATTTTTTCTTATTGTTTTTTTTACAATTTTTTATTTTATAATTGTATTTATTATTTCTTATTTATTTTTTTATTTTATTTTTTATACTTTTTAATCAATTTTTTTTATTATTATTATTTTATTTTTTTTAACTTAGCTTTATTGCTCTCACACAGGAGCTACCAAGCCCCTGTGTGATTGCATTTGGAGGTGGCAGGTTCTCTTTATTAAACCTGTCACCTCCAACACAGCACTGTGCTGACTCTCTTGTGACAGCTGAGACGTTCTCCGCTCTGCTCCCTGCTCTCCATCCTAAAGTGATTGCCGTGGTCTTAGGTCCCCCGGAAGAGCGGGGGACCCCGAAAAACCGCGGCGGGGACAGAGGCAGCCGGGTGAGATGGGAGCGAACCAAGGAGGGGGTGGCAGGGGGGACGGACAGACTTGCAGGCTGCATTAAAGGAGAACTATGAGGGGCGTGCTTTTCACTCACCTCATAGTTCTAGCCGACCTGTGACAATGAGATTGTCACAGGTCAGCTCAGTAGATCGGGAGGTGAGCGAACACATACCGGCGTTCGCTCACTTCTCGATCCGGTCACAGCTCTCTGCCGTGACAGGGGAGTGGCTGGATTCTCCCCTCCCCGCTCCTATCCGCCAGCGCTGACTGGCGGAACGGACGGGGGAGGGGGCGGGTACAGCTGGCTCTGCCTCTAGATAGGCGGAGCCAGCTGTCAGTCACGCAGCTGGGCGGATCCAGACATAATTGTCGGGATCCGCTTCAGCTGCGACGTCTCAGTATACCGCGAGCTGTAGCTCCCTATATACTGAGCTTAGGGTGACGGGAGGACGCTAGTTTGTGTCCTCCAGTAACCCTAAGGAGAACTATGGGGAAAAGACTTAACCCCATAGTTCTCCTTTAAGTGATCTCGGTGACAACACCGAGATCAATTGTACAAAGCAAGCGGCTTCCCCGCTTTTACTTTTGGCCCTGCGTGCCCAAAGACGGGCCAAATGTAGAAAAATACTACCCGCCCGGAAAGCTGTGCCGCCCCTCTACTGCCTGCCGCCCTAAGGCCCGGCCTCGGTGGCTTTGTGGGAAATCCGGCCCTGTGTTTACTCATCTTGTACAGATACTTCTAAGCGTGGAGTCCACATTTTGCTGAGTTTAGTTGGTCATGTCTGGCATAGAGTGAATGATGTGAAACCTCGCGCCACTACTCTAATCAAGTTAAGCAGCAGCTGAAATCTGTGTGGTCAGATATAACGTATGAAATTAATGGTAAAAGCCGCGCTGTGTGAATGAGACCGCAAAGTGTCAGATATAGTAGATGCTGACCTTGGAGTAAAGTGATACAACGTGTAAAAAGTGTAAAACAAAAACCCCTGATGAAGTCACGCCCTTTGACGTAACGTACGTAGGGTGGAGTAGAGGAGCTGAGCGATTTGCACACAGTGTCTGTGGCTGCTTACAAAATACCTCACTTTTATCTATGATATGTGAGTAGGATTCCTTATTTTAATAAAGTCTAGTATCCTTTTAAAACCATCTGCACTACGAGTTTCCACTTTTTATTTTATTTGATGCATGGGCCATTCGGATGAACTGTCTGTTTCCAACTCCTGAGACTGCGAGAGAGTCTGTACCTGAGAGGAGGTAATCACTGGGAGGTGTTCGGCATCAGGTGCTTCCTCTACCTGTTTTGAATTAGAGGAACAGCGCATACAGACCCTGGTGGGTCTCTGCTAAAGGTGAGGTGCATTCCAGAAGATTTCTTTGTTGATGGTCACAGGAGACTAAGTTTATCCTACATCCAATGTTTTATCTTCTATTTACTTAAAGGACTATTGAAGATCCAGGATCGTGGACATTGTTTAACCATTTATTATTTTCACTGGAGTGCAAGTTACACACATGCGTTTTTCTTGTCGGTATTCTTTGCACATTGCATCACATTGATTCACAGTTAATATTTAGTGCATTTGATTTTTCATTATGGATATTTTGTAGCAATTACTTTTACACTAAGGTGCATGTTATATACATGCGTTTCTTTTTTGTTTTGCACTTTTTACACATTGTATCACTTTACTCCAAGGTCAGCATCTACTATATCTGACACTTTGCGGTCTCATTCACACAGCGCGGCTTTTACCATTAATTTCATGTCTGGCATAGAATTCGTCTTTTTCTCATTGGATGGAAGACAACGGTGACCAGACAGGATCTGTAATGTGTGCAGAGTGTGTATACAATTGTATCAAATCCTAAATGTATCTTTGAATGATGGTTATTTGATAATGTATCGGAAGTTTATCAATTTCTGTATCTGATTGTTGAACAAAATAACGGAATAAAAATACAGAGAGAGAGGCGAGTCAACAAACATCTGTAACCAAAAGTTACAATTAAATGGAAGATCAAAAATAATGTCTGCAATCAGCGTCCTCAGGGGGCTCCATGTGCTCCAGTCTGCAGACAATAGAACGACAGACCCAACTCCACCTCTGACCCACAGAGAGGAGGAAATGCCGATAGGAACGTTGCAAGCCGCCCTCCATCTCCACCTACCTTCTACAGAGACATTACAGGAGCACTCCGCCTTCCCCGCCGAGTTCTCTGCTACACACTTATACTGCCCGCCGTCCTCCGGGAACGTCTTCTCAATGGTGAGAGTGCACAGGGGGCCTGGAAGAGATACAATGTGTCAGAAGGTATCACTGTGATTATTATTACAGAGAGAACACTGAGCCAATCACATCAGTGTCTGTACAGAGGAGATTACACTCTAATGTCCCCCCACAGTCACATCATTTTCTGGACACAGGAGCTTACACTCTAATTGCCCCCCACAGTCACATCATTTTCTGGACACAGGAGCTTACACTCTAATTGCCCCCCACAGTCACATCATTTTCTGGACACAGGAGCTTACACTCTAATTGCCCCCCACAGTCACATCATTTTCTGGACACAGGAGCTTACACTCTAATTGCCCCCCACAGTCACATCATTTTCTGGACACAGGAGCTTACACTCTAATTGCCCCCCACAGTCACATCATTTTCTGGACACAGGAGCTTACACTCTAATTGCCCCCCACAGTCACATCATTTTCTGGACACAGGAGCTTACACTCTAATTGCCCCCCACAGTCACATCATTTTCTGGACACAGGAGCTTACACTCTAATTGCCCCCCACAGTCACATCATTTTCTGGACACAGGAGCTTACACTCTAATTGCCCCCCACAGTCACATCATTTTCTGGACACAGGAGCTTACACTCTAATTGCCCCCCACAGTCACATCATTTTCTGGACACAGGAGCTTACACTCTAATTGCCCCCCACAGTCACATCATTTTCTGGACACAGGAGCTTACACTCTAATTGCCCCCCACAGTCACATCATTTTCTGGACACAGGAGCTTACACTCTAATTGCCCCCCACAGTCACATCATTTTCTGGACACAGGAGCTTACACTCTAATTGCCCCCCACAGTCACATCATTTTCTGGACACAGGAGCTTACACTCTAATTGCCCCCCACAGTCACATCATTTTCTGGACACAGGAGCTTACACTCTAATTGCCCCCCACAGTCACATCATTTTCTGGACACAGGAGCTTACACTCTAATTGCCCCCCACAGTCACATCATTTTCTGGACACAGGAGCTTACACTCTAATTGCCCCCCACAGTCACATCATTTTCTGGACACAGGAGCTTACACTCTAATTGCCCCCCACAGTCACATCATTTTCTGGACACAGGAGCTTACACTCTAATTGCCCCCCACAGTCACATCATTTTCTGGACACAGGAGCTTACACTCTAATTGCCCCCCACAGTCACATCATTTTCTGGACACAGGAGCTTACACTCTAATTGCCCCCCACAGTCACATCATTTTCTGGACACAGGAGCTTACACTCTAATTGCCCCCCACAGTCACATCATTTTCTGGACACAGGAGCTTACACTCTAATTGCCCCCCACAGTCACATCATTTTCTGGACACAGGAGCTTACACTCTAATTGCCCCCCACAGTCACATCATTTTCTGGACACAGGAGCTTACACTCTAATTGCCCCCCACAGTCACATCATTTTCTGGACACAGGAGCTTACACTCTAATTGCCCCCCACAGTCACATCATTTTCTGGACACAGGAGCTTACACTCTAATTGCCCCCCACAGTCACATCATTTTCTGGACACAGGAGCTTACACTCTAATTGCCCCCCACAGTCACATCATTTTCTGGACACAGGAGCTTACACTCTAATTGCCCCCCACAGTCACATCATTTTCTGGACACAGGAGCTTACACTCTAATTGCCCCCCACAGTCACATCATTTTCTGGACACAGGAGCTTACACTCTAATTGCCCCCCACAGTCACATCATTTTCTGGACACAGGAGCTTACACTCTAATTGCCCCCCACAGTCACATCATTTTCTGGACACAGGAGCTTACACTCTAATTGCCCCCCACAGTCACATCATTTTCTGGACACAGGAGCTTACACTCTAATTGCCCCCCACAGTCACATCATTTTCTGGACACAGGAGCTTACACTCTAATTGCCCCCCACAGTCACATCATTTTCTGGACACAGGAGCTTACACTCTAATTGCCCCCCACAGTCACATCATTTTCTGGACACAGGAGCTTACACTCTAATTGCCCCCCACAGTCACATCATTTTCTGGACACAGGAGCTTACACTCTAATTGCCCCCCACAGTCACATCATTTTCTGGACACAGGAGCTTACACTCTAATTGCCCCCCACAGTCACATCATTTTCTGGACACAGGAGCTTACACTCTAATTGCCCCCCACAGTCACATCATTTTCTGGACACAGGAGCTTACACTCTAATTGCCCCCCACAGTCACATCATTTTCTGGACACAGGAGCTTACACTCTAATTGCCCCCCACAGTCACATCATTTTCTGGACACAGGAGCTTACACTCTAATTGCCCCCCACAGTCACATCATTTTCTGGACACAGGAGCTTACACTCTAATTGCCCCCCACAGTCACATCATTTTCTGGACACAGGAGCTTACACTCTAATTGCCCCCCACAGTCACATCATTTTCTGGACACAGGAGCTTACACTCTAATTGCCCCCCACAGTCACATCATTTTCTGGACACAGGAGCTTACACTCTAATTGCCCCCCACAGTCACATCATTTTCTGGACACAGGAGCTTACACTCTAATTGCCCCCCACAGTCACATCATTTTCTGGACACAGGAGCTTACACTCTAATTGCCCCCCACAGTCACATCATTTTCTGGACACAGGAGCTTACACTCTAATTGCCCCCCACAGTCACATCATTTTCTGGACACAGGAGCTTACACTCTAATGTCCCCCCGCATTAATATACAATTATATAGCTCCAACATATACCACAGTGCTGTACAGAGAACACATCAATGTGACATCGACATACAATGCTCAGTACATGAATGTGGAATCTTTGGATCGGAAGTTTATTAAACTGAACATGAGTGACAATAATCGGACGCTCTGCGTTGCGCAGGGAACAGACGCACACTCAGCCAATCAACCGACTGGAAGTTTGGTGTCTTCATGGCTCACAAACCTCCTCCGCCGCCCAACTGGCACTTCGGGACCCGGCTTCTTTCGTCGCCCGGAGCAGCGGGGATCCAGACCCCGCCCCCTCCTGCTGCTCCTCCTCTTCCTCGATTAGGCAGACGAAGCTGCCGAATTCTGTGCAGCCCGGCTTGCCTGACTTTTTTGGGGGTGGCATTTTTGCCGCCCCCTGGAAAGTGCCGCCCAAGGCACATACACCCCTGCATTTGTGAACACAGCCAATAACTGCACAGACACCGGGATTTACATGATTGTGTCATCTCTGAGTCGCCATCTCAGGCCAGGAGGTAGATGGTGACGCTGGATGATGGCTGAACAAAGATGGCGCCGTCCTGAGTGAAAATCACTCAGCCTCATATTTCGAGCCGGCGTGTGATAATTAAACTGTTACACGTCGGCTCAATAGATCGGCAACACATATCGTCGCTCGCTCACTTCTCAAACCTGTGCCTGCAGAGAGCCGTGACTGCCACTCAGGGCTCCCTGCAGGGATTCCCCCCCTCCCCTGTCCGATCCTCCAGCGCTGACTGGCGGATCGGGCGGGGGAGGGGGCGGGTACAGCCTCTAGATAGGCAGAGCCAGCTGTCACTCACGCAGCTGGGTGGATCACGACAGTAATGCTGGGATCGGTCCCGGCTGCGGCGTCTCAGTATACCTCGAGCTGTAGCTCCCTATATACTGAGCCTAGGGTGACGGGAGGACGCTAGTTTGTGTTCTCCTGTTACCCTAAGGAGAACTATGGGGAAAAACACTGAACCCCGTAGTTCTCCTTTAAATATCTCCGATTTGCACTCAGGTCCAGTCCGCGGGGGGTCGGTACATGAAGAGAACTTCCCGATATAAACGCCTGTCTGGTAAACAAGCACGAGGAACGCATTACACGATCTGCGCCCCGGAGATAACGATCTGCGCCGCCGACATATCTGAGGCTTTTGTACATTGGGCCGGGTCCAGTAATCATCTGGAATTTCCTCCGTGACCTCAGAGCCATTTCCCCCCCAGGAACACCGTCCATCCGGAAGAATTAACCCTCCCCGTGCCTGAGGGGACGCCGACACCCCAGAGGAGACGCGGCTCAATCGAAGCCGAACTCATGAAACACATTTAGATGAATCGCTACAAATGTGAAAGGATTTGTTATTTTGTGGCAGCCGGGTCATGTGATCAGTGCGGGCCTAGCTGGCAGCGGGTGACCTCACTCCTCGCTGTGGCAGTTAAGCAGTACGGCTTGGTCACTTGCCCGCCCCCGACCTGTGATTGGACAGTGAAGGAGCTGATCGATGGGGCGCCTGCACATAACTGCTGCTGAATCCTCAGTCATTCAGAGAGGAGAAGCTGCAACATTTGCAGGTACTGTCTGAGCTCGCTGTTAAGCACCGCCTCCCTCACATTCCCATTGGACCATCACTAGGATGAACTGTCTTACTGGCCAATGGGAATGTGAGGGAGGCCAGTAAGAGAAGAGAATAGGGGTCATATGGTTTACACTGCACAGACCTATGACACAAAATTGGAGATAGAAGCCCTCGCGCACCAACTCACTGGCGGAACAATCGCTATAGCGACCCAGGCGGCCGCTACGGGGCCCGGGGCACAGAGGGTGCCCGGCCAGGACATCCCTCTGATGCCGTGCGGGTCGCTATGGCATCTCAGGCTGCTGGCAGCTGTCGCTGGCGGGATGTGTGGAGGAACGAGCCGCTATTCACATCACTGACAGACTGCCAGTGATGTGTGCAGCGTCTCGTTCCTCCTCACATGCCGCTGCTGAGTCGGTGACAACCGGCAGCTTTGGAGGAGGTGGCTTGGGCCCGTTGTCGGCAGCGACGGAGGAGGCGGGGCCCGGCGATGGAGGAGGTAGGGCCTAGCGATGGAGGAGGTAGGGGCCCAGTGATGGAGGAGGTGGGGCATAGTGACAGAGGAGGCGGGGCCACCAGCGATCATGGAGGAGAAAGAGGCGGACAGAGGATCGGGGCTGACGGTTAGGAGGTGTGCAGGTTGTGTGACCGCCCACCTGAGACCCTGCAGAGCCCGCCATAGAGAGTGCT